AATTTAATTGGATAACAAGGGTTTTAAACATTGGACTCAAACCCTCAGGCTTGTTTACGTCATTATAGGAATAACTCTTGTCTAATTGGGACTACAGCCTACTGAAATAGAGGTAAAAAAACACACCAAAAAAATTACACATTGAGGGCTTGAGGCCTCCATTATAAATCCAAAACATAAAAAGGTACATTAGCATTTATCATGATGAGTACACATTAAAAAAAAAAGTGTTAAACTCTGTGAGATGGGAGGATTTGGGGAAACCATATAGTTCATGGTGGCAGCTAGGAATGTCAGTTAGTCCCTATGCTAAATTAATTGAGGCTAGGAAGCATCCTGCTTCCTTGTCCTACCTTCTTCCTTACTGGAAGCACTGTTCAGATAGCACTTCATCTTTTCAACCATTGATGCACTTTTGATATTGCTTCTTCATAACCAATAGCTTTGCCTCCTACGGTAACCTGGTGGATCTACTCAGAGAACGACGCCATTCAGAAGCAGTTCATATTTCATTATATACGCAGCAAGAATAATACTAAGGTCCAGATGTTGGTATACTCGGTGGTAGCTACAGCCATGACGACAAGTGTTTTCTAGAAAACATTTTTAGCAATCAGCTGGCCAACAGCTGCAGGGGATGAAAGTGTTTGGTGTTTTCAGTCTGACTGCACCTCATTAAACAGCTTTCATCATCACAACATGACAACGAGGAGAGACAGAAAGATGGAGGATAATAGAGGGAAATGGAAGGTTTAAAATGTTTCCCTGTAATAGCTCCCTTTCCCTCTCTTTTTATTATTCTTTACTCTGGGACTAGACGAAAACAACCCAATTTCACCCATCGCTAAGAGCACGTGTGTGTGTCTTTGTGTTTGAGGGAGAGACTAGTAGTTCTTTAAAATATCACAATCTGACAAATAGAGCAAAAATGAGCAAAATTATCTATGAAGTTTTACACTCTGGGCTCCACATGCAAAGAGGCAACTTTCAGTCAATATTAGACAAATACGTTTTTTGGTTGTTTTTAATAGGGAACCTATCAACATGATAATCAGTATTGGAGTGTGAATGCTATGTGGGGCTGAGGATCCTTACTGGTGGGAGTGGCCACCGGCTCCTGATCAACTACACCTGCCACCTATTTGATAATCACCTGCTGGGGACTTGAGGAGCAGTGTGCCAATCTATTGTCATCTGCGGTTGGTTTAACCTACTTAACCTACTTGAGTTAAGCTTCCTGAAGCTCCTGTCACACCTTGACGAGTTAGCCAGCGTATGCCTGATGTCCCAGAATCTTCTAAAACACTGGCATACGCTGCACTTTCTATGTATTTTTTCAATTTAGGGCGTATACATAGAGTATTCATAATGAGTCAGGAACTTATGTCCAACGACAGCCTAACTTATGCATAATGCATGGCAGCGTAATGCCCATGAAATGTCACAGGCCAGTGTCCTGAGTGGGGCAGCAATGCAACCGGAGGCGCCCGGCCTGCATAAAAAGATTTTTTGATTGTGGCATTAACTTAGCTGCTGTTTACCGCCTGCCAAAAAAAAAAAAAGAATAAATAAATACAAAGAAAAAAAAAAGGTCTGCAATAGCAGCAAATTCAGCGTCATATCTGCTAGGAAGGTTTTTGGTCGTGGGCATGAACGCAGGGAGGATCCATCACACTTGCCTTCTTGCTCACCCTGTGATGGGGATGAGGTCGAGAGGAGTACAGATGGCTTCCTCTTGTGAACCCCCTTTTATACCGAAATGCAGCCAATATGCCACTAAACAGTAGCAGTACGTTAGAGACACGTTCAGCTGGAAAACGTCAAATACATTGATATGGGTTGGAGATAAGTTCTTGATAAGTTACACAGTTATGTACAAGTTACTCTTAGTTTTTGGATAAGCTGGACACCATGACTTATGAGTAACTTACACCTAACCTATGTCAATGATCAAAAAACTTTTTTTTCTTCTTCAAAAGTAAATGTAACTAGATATATCTTTATTTTGTGGAACATGACAATAGCATTTAGTTGGATGCTTATTATTTTTTTATTTTGGCATTATTATAAAACAAAGGCACATAATCCAGCCTCATCACCCAAATGCACAACTGCATTCTCTACTGAGGTTAAGTTTTTTTATGTCTAACAGGCCAGTACTTTATCCTAATTCTGAACAGTATCACACGGAAATGTTTCCTTGTGTGTCTTAGTTCATTACTTCTGGCAGGTCTATAACTTCCTTCCTTCTGGTAGCAATAATTGGTGAGCTAACAGGCTTCAATGAATCAATTTATTGGTTCATTATTTCCATGTTTTGTTTTACTGACAGTGAACATTTTTTACATTCAGCCCCATAGTTTAAGGTGTAAATTAATTTTGAATAGTGGTTGTCTTTTGTATATGTAAAGCACTTTGTTCACAATTTTTAATATTAAAGTTCTTTATAAGCGGTGGTTCAGACCAGGGGTCCAGGAGGGGGTCAGCATGTTTTCATGGGGGCACAGAAAAGCATGAAGTAACAAACATGGCAAGGGATCCAAATATATTAAAAGAGCTGCATGAAGTGAAATTTCTAGTCAACTTGGTTTAATTAAAATTATATGTCTTATTAGGTCAACATAAATTCATCAAATCAAATCAAATCTTTATTGTTGTCATTGTCACAAAGAACAACGAATTTTTTAAAAAAAAAGTGCCATCAATCGATCAGTGCATATGCTTAAAAACAAAAACAGAAATCACTGTCACCACCATTTACACATAATATAAGAAATAAATAACAATAGCTAATAAAAACACTAATAAGAATAGTACAATCTCACACACATCATCCATGATGATTAATGATTTCGGAATTTTACATGTTTTACGGGTGCTTCCAGGTTAACGGATGGTTTTGGACTTTTTCTTTTAGTTAATCAAATTTCACGAAATGTTCTACTTTCAAGATCAGTCTGTTTGTGCCATTTTTCTGCCAAATGATTATACCCTACAAGATTTTCAGATGATTCCATTGTTTTCTGCAGTTTGAAGATTCTGATTACTACCTATCACATTTTCATATGTTCTTCAGTTAATTTTTGCTTTTTTTTTCATCTATTCCATTTCTTTAGCTAATGTTTCGTTTTTCATTCAGCATGAAAAGCATTCCCACTTTGCTGTTTCTCCCAAACAGCTTTTTCTAGTTTGATGTTACAATTACTAAAAAATCTGAATTATTTTATTTGTTTTGAAAAAACCTTTAGCAGATGAAAACTATGATCCTTTCCCAATACCACTGAAGCTAAAACAGAATTTGTAAAGAAAAAAAATGATATAGATCTAAAGGACCAGAGGGGGACCCAAAAGAAGAACAAAAGATTTGTCCCGCTATATTTTTCAAATATAAAAAGAAAATCCAGTAGCAAACAGTGAAATAAAGCATGAATATATTGAATATATAGATTACATTGCATATATAACAAAAGAAACAAATTAACCAGAAAATGTGTAAATAAGCAGAAAGGCTGTAAAAACGTCCACGGCTGAAAAATGCAGCACCCCAGAGTCTGGGTTTTATATAGGAAGAGAAAGGCAGGAAAAAGAGGGAGAGGGAGAAGGCATCCAATACCAGCACCCAATTTATATAGAAAGCTTTGTTACCAGTATAGTTCAAATTAACGATAGATTATTAATCTGTTTAATAAAATAAGATCTGCTCGATACAACTACTTAGTTAATCTTCCTCAATATTGGAGGGGAATCACATCATTAAAGATGGGTGCGTCTGAAAAGGAGCATAAATGTAAGTTTTTTATTATTTTGTTTGGTTTTCAGTTTTAAAGAAGAATTAAACCAGGATTTTATTTCAACATTTAATAATCCTATTGTGTGTCTGTAAATAACACAGAGGCCAAATAGCCAGAAAGCTCCCAGAGCTGAGAATTTACCTTCATCAACCAGACCAGGCAACAGGAAAACACCATCAAAGGATTAGCAGCAGCTAAATGCTAGGAGATGTTTAGCAGGATATTTACCTTAAATAACTGCCTTTGTTCCTCCTTCACCATGTAATCAGATGATGCTACAGTTGTTTCTACTGTTTCCTGGACAGCTGCAGTGCATTTGGTAGCCTTCAACAGCCTGGATTATAATCTGTGTCAATATTAAAACAGTTTAGTAAGACTTTTATATTTAGATTAAATTACAACCATTAAAACAAATCTATAAATTTTAATCATTCTCATGAGCAGCTTGACGCAACCATTTTATTGTCATTACACATCCAGATTAAGGAAAAATAAGCTCTAAGGGCATTAAAATAATCTGTCCTTTAATCAAGTTAATCAAGTTATAGTGAAACCTAATAGGGATATATTTTCACAATCCTAAACCTATTCTCCATTCATGAGTTCACAGATACAGCTGTGCTTTATGTATTAAATAAGCCGTTATTATTTTTGATGGGATGTAAATGTACAGTTTAATGTTAATGTTTATTTAACTTTTTCAGGTTCTGATAATATTAATAGTTTAGATGATACTTTTTATTTCTATATCTTTATAGCAGTTTTAAAGCTTGCGTCATTTTGGGTCGGGGCCCAATATCAATGTCTTCCATGGGGCCCCAAATTCCTGACGACACCACCCCCCACCCCCAGTACAGGGGCAGTGGCCCCCGTTGGCCCATGTCTAGGACCGCCCGTGTTATCTAACGACCAGAGCCACATTTCTGCTTAAGAAATAACTGTCTATGTGACAATTCTACTTTATTCTTAACATTGCATTGAAATAAAATCACAAAGCTTTACATTTTTTAATGCACAAACTGTTTATTTCTATCATTATTTTATTTTTTTTGAATATATTTTTAAGTAGCATATTTTCTTGCTTATTGACTAAATAAAGCCCATTAGAAGTTTGCTCTAACTATGCATTTAGAGTCAGACTCCTGCTTTGAGGGGAGGGCTGCTTGTTATCGGCGCTGCTGTGGAGATAGAGAAGCGCGCTTTAGAGTCTCCGCGCGCGGCCGCTCTCAGCGCGTGCCTGTCGGTATGTGAGCGTCACGTCGTGCTGATGTTTTAACCTTTGACGGTTCGGATGATGATCCGGAGGACGATCTGCGGCTGGAGAAGGAAGCGGAGAGGCGAGGGACGTGACTGAACCTGAGCTCCGGGATTCTGTGGAGTTGGCAGCAGTTAGTCCAGAAGGGATCTGCAGAAGCTTCTGCAGGTACTGATTGCAACATATGTGGGAAACTGCTGTTTAATGACAGCTGCTGGATCATGTTTCTAATGCACAAATGATCAGCAATTAAAATGCATCAGTTTGACAGCACAGATAACTGCTCCATTTGCTTTGGATTACGGAATTATGGCTTAGATTTACATTTTGGATGGGGATCATGTTGAGATTGGACATTTTTCTATATAACCTATGTTATTTATTTCTTCTCTCCCATTTTTAAATTAGCCCATGCAGAGAAGATGATGGGGTTAATAGCCTGTACATTGCTTTGAGAAAATGTAATATGTTACAAAATCTCTCTTGATTTTTATAGACTAAAACTATATATTTGTGGTCAAGTTAGTTAAAAAACTTGTGTTGGAAAAGTATAAATGGATTGAAGTATTAATTGACTGACTTAATAACTGCTACAGAACATAAAGGTACATTTAAGGCACTGGAAGCTAAAAAAAAAAACATTAAAACAAAAAAAGAGTGTAGGCTAGAAACCTTGGGTTCATTAGTTTGGATATTTTCCATTTGAGGTTCTGTGAAGTAATCATCAGGTTATTGTAATGTAGCACCGATGCCATTTTTGACCCCCGATGTGTGTGTGTGTATATATGAAGAACTGCATACTACTTGGATGTAAAATAATTTCCATCATGGCTTTGTCAAGCTGCTGCCTAGCTTTGAGATGCAGACTAATACAAAGTAAATCCAGTAGAACTTTTTATTGCCTACCTGGAATGGGTGACAATAGTTGAATAAACTTTTGGCTCTCAAAATGGTATCGGTGCCCTATTTGTTGGTACTCGCCGATACCGATACCACATTGTAGTGCTGGATCGGAGCCCTGCCCGATACTAGTTATTTGTCTTACCACTATGAGCTTATGGAGAGAAAACACCCAAAAAGCGGTGGAGACTAACAAATAGTTTGATATACAGAACTTATGAAATTAAGCTTCACCTGACTTGTACTATTTAAAACAACTGAACCTGCAAATGTTCTCCTATCTTCACCAAGCATGGAGTAAACTGTTGGATTATCTATTAGCTTTGCAGCAGAGTTGAAGACAGGTGAAGGGTTTGTGATCCAGGCAGGGATGCTGCCAGGAATTTGGAGCCCCATGACAGACATCATAGTGCACCCCCCACCCCCTGCATCAAAAAATGTATGCAAGGTTTAAAAACTGCAAAGAGTATCATTTAAATTATATGTAATTTTAACAAAGAAAATTATCCTAACTTCAAAAATTCAAATGTACATTACCTCTAAAATTTACATGAAAAAATATCCTCTCAATATAATAACAGCTTTATTAAAAAAAAAAAAAAACAGCTGTATCTGTGTACACATTAAAAGAAAATAGGTTTTGGATTTTGAAAATGAATAATCTCCTCTTACTTTTCACTATAGCTAATAAAGGACAGATTAATTATATGCTGGCCTTTAGAACTTATTTTTAATCAATGTATATGTGCAATGACAAAGCATGTAGTTATGGCGTGGCTGCATCAGGCTGTTCATGAAAATGATAGCGATTTATGGATTTCTTTAATGGCTGTAAATCAATCTGAATATAAAAATATAAAAACTGAACTATTTTAATATTGATACTGTTTTTAATAAGATTGCTGGAGGCAATTCAGGCAACTTTCTCCTTCAGTTGTCCAGGATCCAGTGTAAACAACTACAGGCCATTTCATTTTATAGTGATCATTATTTAGAGAAAAAATGTGTTTGAACTTTTATTATAAACAAAAGTGTAATATGAATAATTTGGAAATGTATAAAGAGAGAACATCCCACAGACCCTCTAATGATGCCAACTGACCTGTCCCTGAACACAATTTAGCTTAAATTTCTTTAGGGGAGGGTGGGGTATTGAAGAGACGTGGCTGCTGCTGCAAACTTGATGAGGACTAACTAAAGACCAGAACACACCAGTTGCCTTTTTAATCTCCGATCAGATTTTTTTGTCACTCTGATTGCGTATAGTTAGGCTTGGACTAGGCAGGGTGGGCAGATCTGCGCAGATTTTTTCACTTCCGTCACTGTGCAACACAAATTAAAAGCGTTTCCCACATTTGACTTGGACAGATTATGGAAAGTTATATAAAAAAAAAACAACCACTGGAACAGTTATAAAGCAAAGCTCCACTCAACAAGTCTCTGCAAAATCTCAAACCAGAACATATAGAGAATTTTCATATATTAAAAACATAATGAAATCTACATCTAAAGAAAAGAAAAACACAGAAATAAACACAGTGGGATGGTTTATATGTTGGCAGAGGCAGAGAGAGGTGATTATCAAAGAGAGAGATCTGTGAAGTTAATCAGTTTTTCTTTCTTTTTTTCATAAAGAGATGAGAGATACAACAGGCTTACCTGCTTTGTCTGCCCCTCATTATTTAGTTTTTGTGAGACTCAAAGAGGATCACTATTTTACTATACCTGTTTTTTCTTCTCCTGAAATTAAATTTTTTTTCCAAGGAGATAGATAAACAGCATTTTCTGCTCATCGTTTTTTCAGCGGCTCAAAGAGAATGACTACTTTGTCAATTCTCTGTCCTCCTGAACTTATTGTGGGTAAAGTATTCTATTTTTTTTATGTATAATTGATTATTTTTGCATGGGTCTGTCCTGCTCATTATATACATATATATACTCTATATATCGACTACAAAACTGGACATTTCCTCATGCGACAAACCGATTTAATTTTGTATTTTCCGCCAAAGCAGATGTGTTTTACTTTGTAACTGCGTCTCTCTTGCTCTCAGACCCATGATATTGCCTCTGAATTGCTGTGTCGTCTGACTAAAATAGACCTGGGGTCTGTCTCAGTCTGACCTACACAAACCCCTTTGAGCGAAACCGTGTCGGGAGTGATCTCCCCATTGACTTACAATAAGCGCTAAACGCCACAACCTCATCCGACATTATGTTCCGTCTAATCGGATGCAAAATTGAATTCTGTGTGTTCCAGCAGATAGCTAGCTGGTCTTAAAACATCTGAGCCTTGTTCCAGAAAATCATTATGGTTTCTTAAAAATATCTACATCTGCAATACCCCTTAGGAATAATAGTCATCACCATCTTGATCAGCTCATTTTGTCACTGCACCTTTTTACATTCCAATTAAATGTATCCTCTGCATTGAGCAGAGGGCTCCCACTGTGCAGTGACTGGGAATCATTCTGGGGGTTATGGTACCCAGTGTGGTATTTGAGGATATGAATGAGGGAGGCTGGAGCCATCTCAGTAACGCATGTGTGTGATCATGTGTTCAGAGTCAAAGAAGAGAGCTCAGTCAAAAGTTTTCTGCAGAACAGATCAAATGCAGATAAATTCACTTCTGGTAATCTCTTGGCAGGCACCCTGCTCATAAATATGCAAAGGGAAGATGTTTAAGCTTAGTAAATAGCAGGGCAATGTTTCAGAAAGTGGCATAAGTTAAACTGTTAGTCAAGTTGCTATTGCAACAGCCTACAGTTTCTGAACCAACTCTGGTCAGTTTAGAACTGGGTTGATATGCTCCACTTTCTTAATTTTGGTCGGTTGAGGATGTGGGTAGCAGCATTCTGGATCAACTGCAGCTGTGTCATCCACTTTTTAGGAAGACTTGTAAAAACAGTGCTGCAGTAATAGGGCCGATTGATATTCACAAATATCGAAGTTGAGATTACATTATTGCAGTTGCACTTTTATTTAGATTTTTCTTTGCATTAAACAAAATGATGTAAATGGTTCACTACAGGGTTTCAGTTTTTTTTTCATGACCTGGAAATATTGCTTGTGCAAAGTCCTTTTTTATAGAACTTTACTGTAACCTTTGGTCAAGAAGAGATCAATTCTAATTGCATACATGAATGTGCATGCTAGCTGTACAGCTGTTTCATGGTGAGTTTTAGTGATGGACATATTTCAGCTTCAACTACATGTCATTATAAGTAATAAGCTAAGTTGAATGCTTTTTAATTCATTAGAACTTGATTCAACTTTATTTATACATATAATATTGAACTCCTGCCATGTCTTTCTGTGCTTGCAAGGTGACAGCTATATGCACATTTAATTCAAAAGCAAATGTTTTTTTTAGATTGGTGGTGTTTATTACAAAATCTAGGAGAGTAACAGCATTAGATCAACTAGTGATCTCTAAAATAATAGTGTTTTTGCCAGCCCTTGTCAAGCTTCATGAACAGATTTTTTTTTTCCAAATCTAAAGTCAAGGCAGTGAGTAAAAGCAGATCATTTAGCAATGTCCAATTAAACCAGACAAAATCAATCTTTTCTGAAAATGTGTGTTGTTAGATCTTACTTGAACGTCCATAAAATGTGCTGGTGAATCACATATGGCTTCTTTAATGGAAGACACACCCTTTCATAACAAAAACTTAGTACCTGGATAAGATATTATCTCTTATATTGACTAATTAGCTGTATCGGATATCAGTGATTTGATATTGGATTTCGAGGATCCAATCCAATGCAGTGCAGTCTTTTTGCTGATTAAATGTTACATAATGTTATAATATACAGTACATTTATGCCTATGAAATTCTTTTTTACCTTATTTAAAAAATGTTTATGCCAAGGCTAAAGCCTCCACTCACATGGCAAGATAAAGCGGGTAAAATAAATATAAAAAAATAATAGCAACAAACAAAAATAATCAAGGTCAATGGGCTGGTGGGGCAGCGCCCTAGCGCCCTCTATTGGCCAGCTGCCACTGGTTTGAAAGTCATTTATTCTTGAGATGTTTTCTGCAGCAACTCAAAAACATAATTTCAAGCTTTTTGTGTTCATGTTTATGTGTTTACACTGGTTTTACACAATCTTTTCACAGGTATTAACAATAACTAGGAGCTGGTAAGGGAGAAGCCTTAATTTAATTTTATTTTATTTAGATGTGAACAACAATTTAAGTTTACTGTTACTGTGATGATTTGTGCTAAGTGTGGTACAAACTGTTTAGAGGTTAGAAGAGGTTACAGTACAAGATGGGAAGTTAAATGTTAAGAATTTTAATGTGCAATGATTTATAATATCATAAACCTTGCATTATGGACATTGCACATGGGCAAAGCAAGACTGATAAATTCCAGAAACAATAACTTTCCCATATCAGACATAGAACACTTGACATCTAAAGGCTTTCAAAATTCTGAAGTCTTAAAACCTTCAAGATCGATAATTTGATAATTTTAATCAGCTGTTTTTTTTTGCTCGAAACTGCCACAGTAGCCGATTTACCAGGTGAATTGAAAGATTTCCTGTCCAGTTTTGTCATTTTAGGCTGATCTGTTTTTTGTTTTTTTTGTCGTTGTTGTCTGTTTGTTTGTATTGTTTTCTTAGATGAAAATGTTCTCACAATGCTGATCTCAAAATGGAAATACCAACCAGTAGCCATGGGCACAACCACATCCTGGGATTCCTTCAGCGACAACAACCCAAATTGGTTTTGGTTGGTTAATTGTTCAACATACCAGGCCACTTGTCCTCTTGTGCTCTACCCTCCAAATGTTTGGATGCCTGAAATCACACACCTGACACAGGTAACTCTTGATGCGTTGAGTCCTGTATTGATGCTGATAAACAGGGCTTGACATTAACTTTCTTGCTCACTAGCCACTGTGGCTAGTAGTTTTCCAAAGTTACAAACCACTCCGCCTTTTCACTAACCACAATTTTCTTGCAGGGGAATGATGATCAATATTGCAAAGATGTCTAAAGTTTACTTGAACTAAATTTACAAACCCTTTAAATGAGAATGACTCTTGTACGTGCTTCTATCAAGGCTACAGCACATGTTTCTAACTACATATTACCGTATCATGAAATATTCAGCTCATAAGATTCTGTTTAAAGCTTCTATTACATGATAATTAGCAGAGCACAAATTAATAAAACACGTGGTTGATAATTGCATATTAAAAGTGGTGCAGGAAAAAAGGAGATTAATTTGAACATGGAAAAAGGCAATAAGAAAAACTCTGTTTCAATATTTATTTAGAACAGTAAATATTTACTAAGAGCATAGAAAATAGTAATAAAATAAAATAATTTTACCTTCTGTTTGAAAAGTAAATGTAGAAATAAAAAAATATTTCAGAGCTTTCATCAGCAGTGTCATACCATGTCTTCTTGTCTCTGTGCTCAATGAAAACGGGTCTTTGAAACTGAGGACATCTAACATGCCAAAACTTGATCGTGGGGGGCTTGATCAAAGTCTGTGATGAAAGCTGATCAGTCAGCAGGTCTGATAAGGTATTGCTCTTAAGACTGGCCTGGCAGTCACTTTTGATCAGCTTCATGGCACTAAATCTGCACTAATAATCAGCTGTTGAAAGAGGAATGCAGAGGACAAGGTCAACCACATGCAGTAGATCTGACCAGACGTGGTCAAGCTGCAGAATAACCTCTGGCCAAAAAATGTCTTTTAAAATATTCGGGTTGTGGTAGTCTTGACTTGAGAACAGTCCACTGGTCCAAGACTGTTCCCACTTATACCCCAGATCTCATCTGAGTGGGCTCAAAGTGAGTGATCTCCTGAACATTTGAGTCAGCAATATAATAGAGATAGATGATGCCAGATATAATTATATAAAGTTAGTTACTTAGATATTTCAGTTAATCTGGTCATTTTGGATACAAAATCCTCCCTCCCAATTTACCAACATTTCTGTTTTCATCTGACTAGTATCAGAAACTGGTAATCTGCATGGAACATATGATCCCATGGCTAACATCTCAGAACCTGTTATCAATTGTCTCTGACAGCAGATTTATAATATGGCCCTTGGATTGATCCAGGTATTAGTTATAACATTCTTTGAGGCTGACACCGACATACTGGTTTGTTCCAAGCACTTTCTTCAGCATGGGCCCAGGTGTCTGAATTACAAGACAGACAGGGAGAAAGAAAGATCGACTCCAATCCCAGCACATCCCCTAGCACTACTTTCAGCCCTACCCCAAAATTAGCTTTTTCCTGTGAGGGTAGTGGTGTCCCAATTCCTCTTTGTTTGTAGGAATAGTGGAGATAACAAGGGGTAGGCTAATGATAAAGCTAATGATTTCAGGTGCTTACTTGCCGAGGAAAGGCCAGAGACAATTTCACAGAGATAATGGAGAACAAGGATTTTACCCAGAGACTCACAGTTTTTTTTTTTTTTTTTTACTTTAGGAAGCCAAAGATAATTGTTGGCGTCAGCCTTTCTTGGTTCACCAGATTCTCCCAGACAACAGAGGTTAGGTGAGACAGTGCTCTGGAGCTAAGACAAGAGCAACAGCGAAAGCAGCAAGAAAACCAGGAAGAGGCTGCCAGATGATAATATTATAATTCATATAAAACAACAAACATGTTAAGTTAATAATAAAAACATATATTTTTTAGTTTTATTTGGATTTGTATTTGTGTATTGAAGCCTGTGAGGAGGACAGGCAATCATAAAATTTGGCCATGGTCACTAACCTCGCGGTTCCACTAAAGGCACTAATGTCACAGATTGTCTGCTGAGCGTCCACGTCCCGCTGCCACATGTGGATGCAGCCATTCTAGTCAAAGTGGTTCCATCTGGCGTGCCGCATCCTTGAAGCATCTCTCCTACCCTAATAGACACCAGAGATGTAGGGTTAATCTTTTCAAAGCTGCTCCTCAAACTTGCCCTGTTCACATAGCTCTTGTGATAAAAGGAATACTGGTCACTTAGAATGTCAACAACTTCCCTTGCCAGGTTGTTCTGGGACACAGCAGCAAAGTAGCCTAACTTCAGCCGATTGGACATGAAGTTTATGCATAGAATGTATGCTCTGTCTCTGTACAGCTGACTGACTATCCCTCTCTTGACCCCTTTCATGATGGCAGCACCATTTTTTCCAAACGCTACTTGTTTCTGTGGCTTCTGCCTTGTCTCATCTTTACTCCCTGTCACAGTTTTCATTATTGATAATATAACTACAGTGACCTGTCTGGCATCTTCCATCACTGCACTGTCTGGCAGAAACTTTGTGGTGGCCAGAGCTTCTTTCAGTTTTTTCTTTCAACATCAGCAATGTGAAATATGAACTCATTAACTCTATTTGAGTCCCTTTAAGTATTTCCAACATTTAGCCCTTGTTTTCTCATCCATCCTAGACAAAATACACATCAATATTGTTATGACCAATGTAGGTTCATGAAAAATAATAATTAACACAAGGATCATTTAATAATAAACATTTAATGTAATGCTTCCTGGCACATCTACATAGTGCATTAAAGGTGGATCTACTTCTCTATAGCATGTGCGTTGTGAAACAGAATTCTGTTCTCAAGCTTGGCCAACTTCAAGGGGGCCAGGGACTTCCCCACCACACTGTCTGATAAAGAACCATCTTTGCTCATTTTGTTGCAATATATTTTTTATGCCGATGTGATTTCATGGTTCTTTATCGTTTAAGTTAGAATTTTTGGTTTAGACCTACGTCATCTTTTTACTGCCATAGATCCTACAGTCTTACACTACTCTTGCCATGGACACAGTTTTTGGTGCTGATGCACCCTAATTTTCCATGTGTTTGCTTTTTTAATAACTCCCATCCACTATAATTGAGGAACTTTATGCACTCATCTTTAAACTGGATGGCTGTGCCAACCATTTGGTGGATAGAAGAGGTATTACAAAAACAAACACTTATACTAGACTGGAAAGACTGTGCAGACTTGATTTTAATTCAGTTTAATGAATTTATCATTATTTATTAATTTTCACGATAAGGGAAATGACCACCATGTAAACAGGCAGTAAGTTAGCAGAGAACATTGCCCAGGGTGCTGCTTATGTCTGTTTTTCCTTGTTAAGTTCAAATAAAAAGAAAAGAAATAAAATGCAGTAATCCCTGTTCACTGAACAGGTGGTTTTAGACCTAAAAACTAAATTTTAAAATAATTTTTATTTTTTTAAATAATGCCTTCAGCATGTAGACAGCACAATAAGAAATATATTTGCACAGTTTATTTGCTAAAAAGACATTAAATTTGGTCCTTTAAATGTGGAGCTGCAATACCTTTAAGTTTTTTTTCAAAAGGTTAGGAAATGTTTATATGAACTAACTAATATTCTATTTTTTGTTGATGTTGTTGAGTATTTATAGCACTAGTAACTGTTATTTGGACAGTAGGCTGACAGGAAAGTGGGTATGAGAGAGGGGGAGAGACATGTAGCAAAGAACCACAGGTTGGATTCAAACCTGGGTCGGCCGCATCGCAGAATAAGGCCTGCATAACATTTCACATTTGAGAAATTTACCTGCATTTAACCCTTTCCATTGGGGAGCAGTGGGCTGCCATTTTGCAGCAGTGTGGGGTTAAGGGTCTTGCACAGAGACCCAGAATGCAGTCTGTGGGAGTGTGGCTTGAACTCAGAACCTCAGGATTCCAAGCTCCATGCCCTAACCACTAGACGGCCATTCCGGGACATGACAACGATAAGACTATTTGTTTTTGCTGCTGTAAATACTGAGGCAGAGATATACTGTCTTTTATAGACTGGTTGACTGTTATTTATTGGTTTTTGGCTGTTATTTTTGGTTTTGGAGTCAACTGTGCCAGCCTTTCTTTTATCAAAATATGCTTTACCCCCATTTTACAGTTTGAATGCTTACATATTTAAACTGTACAACTGTACAATAAAAATAAAAGTTCATTGGTTAAATAAACCAGCGGATGGATATTTATCAGCTCTGTTTAATATTAAATCAGTAAGACTTGAGTTTGTAGATGTCTTTAGATGGGCACCTGACCAGCGGTATCTGTTGAAGATTGCAAAGAGCAATAGCACAGGTAAGAGCATTAGGTGCCTAACGAGACTAAACAGAGAGTAATGTGACGATTCATCATTGCATAAATAAAAATGAAATATCCCTAAATTTCTATGGTGTACAAGGAGCTACTGTATGAAAACTAAAATAGCAGAATCTGAATTTAAAGGGAAGAGTTTAGTTTTCTTACGTACATGGAAATAATTTTAGATTGAAACTGGATCGAACATAGTTCCGACAAAAATATTGCTACAGCAACTCCTCTATCTCTGTTAATTTGACTATTGAGGAGGATGAATGTTTTGTTGCACTTTGAAATGGTTTTATTTCTCCTCTGTTTCCATTATGGCCAGAAAGTTAAGATTAATATTCCAGTTGATGGGTTTTAAGAGGTCCCTTTTGTATTCCTCTTCTTATGTAAATTCTTCTTTCTTATGAAAATGGTCTTTTAGTGAGTTCAGCTTCCTCTGCAGACTCCAGATAAGATTCAGTTTTAATGATCCCTGAGGCAAAGTGAATATTTTTCTGTAATTTATTTTGCTGCTTGTAAACTCTTTTGGTTCTTCTTTGATTTTTTGCAGCATAATCTCAAGTGGGAGATTTGTATCATATCAGATAACTGTCCTTTGATTCTCGTTTAAATAGAATTGTATAAAAAAAAGACTAACTGGAAATGATATTAAACTCCTCAAGTGTTGAATCAAGGAGCAATGTTGCTAAGTATTTTGATGTTCTGTTGTCATCTTTAGAGACA